TACTACTACTACTACTACTGTTAGTAATGCTTATAATGTTATTAGTTCCAATTCAATTATCGTAATGATGATATCAACAACAGACAGCCACTAGTACCTTGAGTTCCACTGCCACCACGAAGGACAAAGGTTATTCCGGGTTGCGGCAGCAAATCAAGGTTTGGCAGCGAAACCACTGGGCTCCAAGCCTTTCCCAACATGAGGCGAAAGAGCTTGTGGCGATCCAATGTGAAGAGAGGCACAGCGGCTCAAGCCTGAGAGCTGTCGGCACCAATAAGAATCTTGAGAAGTGAAGCACATCAAGGCACCCTAACCAAGAACCCTAAACTCCGCAACCCTAAACCACTGCCGTGATTCTTTCCCGTGCTGCAAGCTTCCACTGTAGTTTGCACGGGTAAATATATCCGATGCACCAAGCACAATTGTACTGTACCTCGCGAAGCCAATTCACATGCAGCTTGGGGTGTTTAGTTTTAGATGGGTGTGGCGATTCTTACGCAGAACGAGTTTGCTACAACGGTCCTGCTGCGCCGAACTTGTTTCTCTTACTCGACGGTCGTGTCGTTTTGCAAGAAGCTGTCGCAGGCTGGGCATCGTGGAAGCTCGCTTCGCATGCGAGCAGCACCCGGTTATCCGGATCTTCGCACTGTCTGCAGCTGGCCTGCATTTGGGGCCTTACCAGCAATAATAGAACCTGGAACGCTGGTTCACGGTTGATGGAACCCTGCCAGATGAACACCTACGGGTTCGAACTCCCAAGCAAACACACAGACGAAGACCGATCAATCAAGACATATATCTTGGTCGTAATGATACTGTTAATGATGCAAGGAATAGCTGTGAAAAACTCAGTCTGCTAAACTCTGATTAGCAATAGTCGTGGTATTTGCTACAAGACTGCTATGAATGCTGCTGCTTTTGCTGTCCCTGTTGCTGTTACTGTTACTGCTACTGATGCGGTTGCAGTCACTGTTGCCGTTGCAGTAATGTTGCTGCTGCTGCGGCGCCTGCTGCTACTACCACTACTGCCACAATTGCCACTACTACTACTACTACGACGACTACTACTAATAATAATAATAATAATCATAATCATAATGAGTATTCACAACATCATTGCTGTACTCATTGGCAACAATAGCAGTAAGACTGTAATACTACTAATAATAACAACACTTTTATCAATAACAACGAAGTAGTAAATAATTACGTTCCTTTACTACCTACTCCCTCCTCCTACTACTCCTACTCCTACTCCTATTCCCACTCCCACTCCCACTCCCACTCCGACTCTTCCCACTCATCCTCTTCCTCGACCTCCTCTTCCTCCTCCTCCTCCTAGTACTACTACTACTACGACGACGACGACTACTACTGCTACTACTACTACTACTACCACTACTACTACTACTACTACTACTACTACTACTACTACTACGCCTGCTGCTGCTGCTGCTGCTGCTGCTGCTGCTGCTACTGCTACTGCTACTGCTATTGCTACTGCAACGAAGCTACTACGACGACGATTACTACTGCTACTGCTGCTGCTACTACTGCTGCTGCTACT